ACATCAATGAATCACAGAGCGAGCAGACGTGGCACTGATGTCAGGTGCTGAGCTCTGTCATCTTTCTTGACGTTTAAAGACATTCAATCTCATTTCAAGCGGCTCGACCAGCGGAGCGTTTTGCAACTGGAGGACTGAAATCGTGGTATAAGTGTATCAGTATTACGTTATAAAATACACGTTTCGGTGTTCACAAAGAACGATGCAATGCAGTGCAAGTCCGTTGTTAGAAAGATGGAATTAGCTACAAGATATGGTAAAAGATGATATAAATTCATGGTACTGGCTTCAAAGTTTGTGAAACTAAGAAACCGTTTAATGCGGTATATGGATCATATTTTGCATTAGCAAGTTAATGTTTCATTACCGTGTATAATTTTGGGTCAAAACTTTGTTACCACCGATAGGTTACAGTTGTGTCTAGGCTGCAGATTCGTAGGCTGACGTATTTGCCCGGGACCGTGCGAATGTCCTTTGGTGATGTGGTGCCCAAAGATCTGCTAGCCGGCAAACGAATAATTCACACCACCCCGTACCAAGCTGCCAATATGAACAGTAGTTCTGCTCTTATTGACTGCGTGGGAGCTGCCGCATAAGTTGGATTTGCTTATTTTTTTCGTGCTGGACTTGTTGACTCCTTTTCGCAGTGACTTTTCAGTAAAAATAACTAATGTATGACGGTGCATTGCATCTGTAGTCTGTAGTTGTACATGGTACTTAAATTGCATTTCGTGAAGGACATGGCAGCTCTAAGTCTATGCACCCGTGGCTCTAGCTAAGGATCAATGTCGGGGCCATGGCTCAATGCTTTCCATCCACCGCCATAGGCCTGATGTTAAAACGGGTCTTCAAGGGGTCCACACGCTTCCCTGAAGGCCAGTGAATGTGAGCTAGCTCGCAGCGTTATTCCTTGTTTTAAGGTGTCCACACACATCCATACTACCGTATTTGACTATGGATAGCTATTACCAAAAGCAAAACTTCGATAGCAGCTGTACTTAAAATACCTACCGATATCTTACGGTCTCCAACCGAGCTTCAAACTGACAGTTTAACTTACACTCTTTGACAACTTAAACACAACTTTCAATGCTGAAGTATCAGTGGGCGCCCCATCGCTCGGGTCACCTGCCCTACCGCTAGTCATGACCCGCCCAGTAACCCACAAGCGTGTCGAGTGTCGACTGTGAGTGAGGATCGACTGTGAGTGAGTGTCAACTGTGACACCCAGTGAGGGTCGAATGTGCCGCGATTGAGCGCATCTCGGCGTGACACCAACACGGTACTAGTCTAGACAATTCGTCAGTATATTGACTGTTATCGGCTGAAGTGTAACTTGTCCAGCTTGATACCAAATACACAATTAACGAACCGTCTTTTGTGTGTCTTTTGTGGTAGGGTGCATTATGCAGTATGCACTGTCGAATATTCACAATCAGGTACACCTTGAGCTTACAGATCAGGCGAGGTACCTACATACATCATATACTGCTAGATCTGATACGTCATATAGGTATTGCCAGATCGGGTACATCATGTGCTGACATCGGGTGCAACATGCGCTGACATCGGGTATACTATGCACATTGCACAAGGGTTAGGTCAGTGCTGGTGCCGCCCCCACTGCGCTGACACTGCTGCCATAGAACATAGGGTAGACGGCTCTGTAGAGTGTAGATGTCGCTGCGTGGCCGGGACCTGTGCTGTGTATTTATAGCGGGCCAAGGACGGCAGCCCATATAGGTGTGGAAACCACTGAAAATCACATCTATAAAACGCACTTTTCCTTCTTAGCAAAGTGAACTACAAAAACAAATAACATTTTAGTAGTGCACAAGTCATGAACTAAAAAAATCTGCTACCGACAACGAAAAATTGTTATCAGATTTAGAATAGGCGGCATCAAGGGCAGCATCGATCTATTCAGAAGTGCACACTCGCATAATGAATTAATTTTGGCTGTCGACCATAGAAAGTTGACGTGGAATTTGGGGAGCTCACTTTAAAATTTGACCTCAGGTCAGACCTTAATGACATGACCGAAAACGGCTGAGGTCATGTTACATATCAGTCGATCGGTAGGTAGGAGGGTAGGGCTGAACGGTGAACACATCCACAGTGTTTGTTTTCAATTTCATCGCTTTGGCGCGTCTTCATCAATATATTTGTCCATGAAACTGCTGGCGACCCTTCGTGACCTACCATGACCTTGAAGTGACACTAGCTGGCCATCAAGTGCACCGGACCACACCCATTGCATAATGGTAGAAATGTTACGCTTCTGAAAGTAGGTATTGAACGTTTTTGCATAGGCGGATCCAGAACGGATGTCTCAGACGCTGTGGGAGGGGGAGGAGGAGTAACTTTCTAAAAAAGAAAACTCCTCGTATTTAGATAACTCAGGCACTGCTGTGCAGTTTAAAGGAAACATTTCCTTATAAGTTATTTAGTTTTCTATCTTTTCTAGAAAAAAACGACAACTTTATTGGGTTTCGGGCGTTGGGCGAGGGGGCTTTTGTCCCAAATGCCTGCAAACTTAACTTCGTTATAGTCCATTTTTTTTTTTCAAAAGGCGCACGGCCCGAAAATCGATTTTAGAATTGTCACGTGCAAAGTGATGGTTTTTACAGAAATCAACGAACACCGGCTTGGCACGTTTCGAAATCACTGGCCGGCTCGGCCAGCTCGGTCGGCTGGTCTCTGACTTGCGATAGTTTGGAAAAAAGTATAGACATTCGACTCATAATGAGGAACTGTGAATCGAAAATGCTTCCACACGGGGTCTAGCCATAGGCACTAAACAAATGATTAAACTGTTGACGTGGATGACCTGTTTGCAGACCTACAAAAGTAACACACGGATTGACATTTTGTTTTAGATTTATTTCTGTTGAGTACAAAAAGAAACATGAGCCAGCATATCTGCCGATCTATTAAAATGCTGATCGATCGATTTCTGCACTGGGAAGAAGTCAGGTATGCGCCAACTAAATCTGGAAAGACTTATAAAAAGACGACTGAAGTTTGTAGGTAGCATGCGAGAACACAATGTAAGACAACAATACGGAACGTCACCAGCTTCAGCAAATAATGACATGTTTTCCATGAGCTTGCCGCTCAGAATTCCGGCCCCCGACAGATTCTGTCTTGAATGTTTAATTAGTTGCCGCTTGCTATTTCTCAAGTGATGGGCTGGCTGTGGAACAGGGTTGTGCTCGACTCAAAAAAAATTTGCCGACTCGACTCATCATTTAACTTCATAAAGCCCTGACTCAACTCTGACTCAAACAAGGAGCTGATTTTTTCCCTTGACTCGACTCATGACTCAAGCGGCTCAATGAAAATATGAGTTGACTCAAACTTGACTCAAATTTTTTATTGAGTCAAGTGTGTTGACTCAAAATTGACTCAGATAAAAAAGTTGTTGAGCGGGGGGGGGGGGGGGGAATCAGGCAGCAGGGCCAGGCCTAAGTTGTTATGCGGGGGAGAATGAAAAGCTTATATATTGTTTCTAGAAAGATGAGTCAGCTGACTCGTGTTCCTAAATGTTTTTGACTCAACTCAATGTCAAAAGTTATTTTACTGACTCAACTCTGACTCAACTCAACACCTTAATATTTTTGTCTGACTCAACTCTGACTCAACTCAACAGCTCAACATTTTATACGACTCGACTCAAACCTGACTCATCTGAGTCAGAGTTGAGTCAAATCCCTGACTCGACTCATGAGTCAAGCACAACCCTGCTGTGGAATCAAGGTTAATACAGGAGTGACGTTAAATTTGCATGCAAAATCAACAGAATGGCTCAATTCTATGAATTTACTAACATTCTGCAATGTGACACGATTTAAAAGCTAAATAGAACAACTTGCTCCGTGGCACTGTGTTTATCTTTCAAAAATCAAGGCCTCAAAAATGGCCGAGAAATTCATCTCAGCTTGCGTTATTTTCTAGCGTCTCGCACGTGCCAACTCCAAAATAATACTTCGGGCCATGAGCCTTTTGAAAAAAATGGACTATAGTGCGGTTTTGACTTGTGTTCAAAACAGAAGGCATTTTCACTTTTCTTCGTTGCATTTAAATGTCACACCATGACTTTGAACTGTCTCAGGTCAACCAGTCTCAAGTGACCTCGGAGGTCAGCTCAAATACCTACCCAAAGTTAAAGGCCTGTTTAATTTTTTATTTTTACGAGACCACTTCGCTTAACATAGTCGCAGACCGCCGTTTTGGCAGCATCGTAGGTATTTGTCATTTAAAAAAAATTGTCCGAATCATTTGAATAGGATTCACAAGGACAGTACCCCGCTAAGCAGAGCTTGTTGCGTTGACCCTGCACTCGGCCTCCGAAGGCGCAACTCCTGATCTATGGTAGAATTTGGAGCCCGAAGTTTAACGTAGGACCAACTGAGCTAGCGGGACCGGCAAAATACTAAGTCATTGTCATACTAAGACACTTCGAATAATCGAATCTCTGTTTGCGAAAGATCAACAAAGAGTGTTGACCTCAAGTCAAAGTCAGGATACAAAACTGGTCAAAGGAGGTCATAATCCACATCATTCGATTCAGCAAGTCCTTCTGAATGCAATGAATCAGAGTACAACACCTGCTAGCGTTAGTGAGACGCCATCTGTGTCGTCAATCTCAAAGATGATTTTTTTTTTATTTTGAAGAGGGAATTCTCCCCATACCTCCCAATTTAACAACCAAAATCCTATCATACTTCATGATATCACATGCTAGTACAGCGATTAGATAATTTACTTGCCTTGTTTCCTATCTCTTATACTCTGCTACCAAATTAGACAAGATAGACTAGACCATATTTTTATTATTTTCAAATTTCAAAATGACAAAATATGAAAAGAAACAAGCCAAATCAACAAAATATTATGTTGCAACGATAAAATTCCTGTAAATTTTGGTAAAAGACGCAATTTGTATGTTTCACAAATCTTGCCGGCAAAAACGCCAAGAAACTTGACTCATTTTCCTTCTTGGCTCTTCAATTTTCGTTTGGTAGCCTGCCATCTTCTTTTCAGCCTGCGGCCTTCTTGTCGCTGCCTCCTCTTCAAGCCGGTGAGTTGCTGGGTTAGGAGGCTCCGAAAGTTGTCATATTATGCATATTGGAGTATCTTTGGCTTAAATTTTTAATTAAATGACTATTCAGTGTACTTCTATCCCTTCTTTTCCTTTAACATTGTGATAATGTGTGAATTTAAGCTGATTTTCTATCGTCTCCGTTTGTGGCGCACATCGTGGCCGGCGTGTTAATTTTTATGTGGTCCTCTATCACATGATTTATTTCAGGAATGGATAAATTTATGATACATTAGCCTTAATTATAAGTAGGATACTGGAGGAACGCCTAACATTAAATATGAAGCATTCCCTTCTTTGACTTTGTATGAATGATTGGGTCCCTCACTTTTCACCGTGTTTTGTAGTGGAGTTGGGCTAAAACTTGAATTGCTGCATTGCTTCATACCTCCTTTTGTTTCCATTTAACTCTGGGCTACATCAGCTTGAACACTTCTCTTATGTTCAAGAGATCAGGAGACTGAAGATCATTTTAATGTTACGACTTACGAGATTTGCTGTTTAAGTTAAAATAATCTCTTGTGTCTTTTAAGTTTGTTTCAATGCTTTGCTAAGTACAAAATTAGAATTGAGAATGCAAAATGCAGAAGTTTCAGATGTAAACTAGTCAGTTTTATTAGGCTACACTCAGTAATACCATCTACGATTTCAATCAGTGCCTTATGGTTTAAGGGGAACCATTTAGTATGAATGTTTTTTACCATGTTAATCTGATTTGCTGATAGTCATCGCATAGAATATTTAAGGATGTTAAATCCCATCAAAATTATTTTAAGTTTTATGGCCTATTGCTGAATATGGTGGTCAATGTGGTCCAGTTCAGTACAACACATGGAATAATTAAAAGCTGAAAAATATTTAACATATAAGTACACCAGAGGTACATTTTCAGTTCAGTTGGCCAACCCCAACAGCTGAAAAATCCTTAGTAAAAAAGTCCTTGATTCTTTAGAAGTTAATCAGCTAAGATATTGAATAGAATATTAATGGATAAAATATTTTGAACTAGCTCATTGAGTTCAGTTTGATGCATCTTTGAAAACCTTTGTGGTTCTCCATTCAGTATAGTTATTCAGTCATGCTTATATTAGTTCTATTTGTCACAAGAACATTCTGATGACATAGCTATGTATTTCTGAAGAAGGATCTACAAGTATGAGTCATTTTGGATACACTGGATCACTTTTTCACTACTGAGCCTAATCAATACACCAATCAACCCAGATATTGGCTAAGATCTTTTTTTTAAAGCAGATAATTGTCATGTAACTCAGTGCTGGCTCCTATGGTAAAACAATATTGTCAGATTTTGCTAGGGGGGGGGGGGGGATTTTAATTCCCAACAATTCATCAAATGATGGCTGAAAGCATTGAAGCTAGTTAAACTTTTAAACATCTTGTCTGAAAAATCATGTGAAATCAAATGAAACTCCTGGATTCCTCAAACATTTGTATGCCATAAAATGTTAAATGCATCAGAAATTGTCAAGAAAAAGGTTTGAGAAAATGATTTTTTTTTTGACAAGTTATTTGGTTTACCTCCCTATTTAATTACTTTTTATCCTTTACCCATCAATGAGAGTTTATTCAATTGGTGTTGATAATATCATCTGATCTTGGTCAAAATTTGAGCCAAGAAAAGGTTTCTTGAAAGTAAAATCTTATTCACAGAGCGAGTTTGATGCCTCCACGTACTAGGTATATTATTTTGGAAAAAATAAGGTTGCCGGCATTCAGCAATGTGGTCCTTGAAACCTAGATGATAAAGATGAAATGAAATGATAAAGCCTCTTGTGCTACTGCTGGGCATTATGAGAGGGGGAGTTTTTACCAGGGCTGCGGAGTCGATGGATTTTCGGCGACTCCGACTCCGACTCCGGCTTTCAAAAACCAGCTCCGACTCCGACTCCGACTCCGGGCAGAATTGTCGACTCCGACCGACTCCAACTCCCGACTCCGACTCCGCAGACCTAGCAGGGCTGCGGAGTCGACAGATTTTCGGTGACTCCGACTCCGACTCCGGCTCGGGTTTCTAAAATCGACTCCGACTCCGACTCCGACTCCGGTCACAACTGTCGACTCCGACCGACTTCGACTCCGACTCCGACTTCGACTCCGACTCCGACTCCGACTCCGCAGCCCTGGTTTTTACCTTCCCATATTACCTCTGACATTCTCTGTTTTGTGGAACTTTTGATCTTTTAAATATTTGAGACTGGCAAAGGGATTTGCCCAAGCAGAGATGTAATTCAATTTGTATGTCTCTTGGCTTTCATTTGGCTTTAAATTTCTCCTTAATGAGATCAACAAGTTTTTTTTTATCTTATGTGCTCTCACATTTCTGCCACCAGGAATCAGATTTATTAGTTCCCCGTGCCTAACAGGCACGGATCATTTTCTGCTGACACTTGGGTGCAGATACCATCAATGACATAATGCCATATGTGACCATTTTTTTTTCTACTTTTTCCCAGGTTTCACGGTGTAGCCGCAGACCACCCAAAACACACCAAACATGTACGCCGCCTCCCGCTTCGTTCTCCCCGCGACCCGGGCCACCGTAAGTTCAGTGATTCTGATTTTCCGGTGGGGCCATTGCGAGCCAGTGAGTCAATGACAATTTGGACTCTCATTTAACAACATGAACATGAACAAAATGCTGTTAAATCAATTTCAGAGCAGTTGTGTAGGTTTGCTAGGATGGAAGGCAGACATTTAATCACTGCTGGCAGCCAAAACTCACTTAGTACGATGCTATCTCCTTTTGTTCAGAGTGTTAATGGATCGATTGATCTAAACAGTGGATCAAACTGACTTCATAGATCGATAAGTATCGTGTGCCGATCAGGAATGTGACCCATTTTTGGATGCTGTGTTTCAGGTGCTGCGGCCTCTGAGCTCTGCGGCGTGGGCGCCCGTCAGCAGCCCCGTGACCGCGGCGCCGGCCGCCAGCCAGGCCGTGGTGCCCTACCGGTCCATCCAGACCTCGGCAGTCTCGCGCGACATCGACTCTGCGGCCAAGTTCATCGGCGCCGGCGCGGCCACCGTCGGCTCGGCCGGCTCCGGAGCCGGAATCGGCTCCGTGTTCGGCTCCCTCATCATCGGCTACGCGCGCAACCCGTCCCTGAAGCAGCAGCTCTTCTCGTACGCCATCCTGGGATTCGCCCTGTCCGAGGCCATGGGTCTGTTCTGTTTGATGATGGCGTTCCTGCTGCTGTTCGCGTTCTAAGCGACCTCGGCTGAGAGGAGAGGAGACGGGGAGGGGAGCCGGCCGGTCGCGGCGCCGGATCGGGGCCGCCGGCCGGGCGTGCCCCGAGCCCGACGCGCGGCTAGCGCCGAGAGACTGAACGGGGTCGTGTAGGGCCACCGCCTGGCTGGGTGTCGGATACATGTGATTTGAAGCGTGTTTTGAGCGACCAGGTGAGCCGCACCGAAGGGGTGTCCGCCGCGAAATGTGTGAGTGGGTGTCAACCGGCTAGATATACAAATATACACTTCTACACGACCAGACCTTGCGTTTAGGGCTCGAACCAATAAACTATCGTTTCTGAAGCTTCTGATGAATAGAACAGAATATTTAGCGAGTGTCGACGCCAAGTGAGGCGCTAGCCCCTGCCCCCCAACCCGAGGCTAAATTTGGTTCGGGTACGTGGTTACAGGTGACGGGAGACAGTCGGAGCTTGCCAAAAACCTATTCGTGAAGAGTGAATTCCTCTGGGCAGGATCCGACTTAGTTCTGAGTCGAGTTGACTTCTTGCGTGTTTATGACGTGGCCTTTTCACTTTTACCAGTACGCCAATGGGATTATAAGCCGACCTGTCTGTGCATCCGCTTCGCTAGGCAAGCCGGCTGGGTTTCACATTTGGCCATCTAGTACGGCTGCTTTTTTCGTGCATTATCTTTCCATGGTTACCTATATGATAACTAAAAAGTTTTAACTGGAAAGCTCGGCGGTAGGGAGAGGCAGTTCACTGACAGATCCAGGGGGAGCATCAGGGCAAATGCCTCCCCCTTCCCCCCGCGGTGCCCGAAGTCGACGAAAAACTACGGGTTTTCGAGAATAACACGAAAACTGAACTTTTCTCAGGAACTTTGTTTCAAACTAGAGGTCATTCATTAGAGTTCAGTGGTTCAGTACTGACTATACCGTGGATCCATCCGAATTTGTCTTTTGGTTCAGGTCATTTAGGTGTGTCGTTTAGGTCAAGACAGCTTTAAATTGAATGAAAAATAAGTGTAAATCTAATAAAAAACGAGCTTTTTAGATGACTCACAGCATAGAGTCTGGACTCTAAAGATTCGAGATAGACAGAGTTCAGTGAGATATACTGAAATAGACTTACGACCAAGACCAAGGCCGTATATTAGGTTTACGACGATGGACTTGACCAAGGACTTGACTCTGGCTGATAGCAAGTGAAAGAGGCAGCTAAATTAAAAGGAAATTGGAAACATTTGTTCTCGAAAATGGCGCACATTTACTGCGATTGCGTGTAATCTGGCGCACAACAACTTTGAGAGATCTGCGTTGCTTTTATATAGGTTGGAATCGTTGGAATCGCAGTTATTTGTTCGTAATTGATCCGGGAGTGTGGAAACTGTTCTAAGAATCAGATATATTATTTTATGGGATTGTTTTTTGCAAACTTATTGGTCAGTTTCGCGTATTATTATGTTTAAGCAGTGGGGTTTGGTTTGGCAGATCAAGATCAACGCTGAACGTGACCACGTTTAACCCGGCAGGCGGTGGGCCTACCCAGCCCCCGTTCACGAGCCTCAGAATTCCTTTACCGTGACGTCACGTGGGCGGCAAAAATCCCTTCACCCCATAACGATCCATACAAATGAGGCCGAGTTTTGAGCTGGGCTGACGCCCAAGTTGAGGGCTAAAATATTATAAAAAGCATACCATTTGACTCAGTAAGGCTTGATTTTTCCAAAACCGGGCCTGAATAGGTCGAATTCGAATGAACCAAGCATTAATTTTGCCTTTTAGATGAGGCCTGCAAATTTCGATGAAGTTTTTTCTCGTGAAGGAACAAAATAGTGCTACCAAATGCGTCTTGCGCCGCTTTTGCAAAAGTTAGATACTAACGCCATTTCCTATCAATAATATGCAAATTTATTATGATTTTGGCCAAATCGAATGGCAAACATTCACTTAACAATAGCAAGACTTCTATGAGGTGCATTGTTTTGGCGAGTGATCTATAGTATGCTTCAAAAATACCACTGGAACTTGGTATACCTCATACTGCACTACCAAAGGAACTGAAGACTCGTATCTGAGCCACTTTGAACCTACAAGATAATGGGCTGAAGTGTGAAAAAGGCTGTGTTATGCCTTTCAAGAGAAGAAAACATGCCAGTATTGGTCTTTCTAGCACAAATATCTATTTCTAGTGAATATTAATAATGTGTAAAATCATAAAATGTTGAAGTTCACTTGATACGAGAACAATCAACAGATCACCAAGGCAAGGGACCTGGTTGACTGGTCTTGTTGAGTCCATTTTTTTACATTTCTCTCATCCAATAAGTACCTAGTTAATTGAGTAGAGTATTGTCTACTATTATAATTTGTGGTTAATACCTTAACACAGAACATTGTGAGCAACTGTCGTGCTGCCGCAAGGCGCAAATGAGCAAGCACAAGTGCTACAGTGACATGAATCATTATGAATGTATTTCCAAGGTGGCATGTACAATAAATGTTACAAGGGTGGAGTATGTTCTTTTATGAAATGGAAATCATTTAGAGATACAAAACATCACATGATTCAGAAGAATATTGGTGAGCTGATGATATTTGATGTTCGTACTTTAATCTATATTACTATTTGAGGAGGGTGCGTCTGTCCGTTACCGAGGTCCCGACTTGGTGGTGCTTTGCGTGGACTACAGGCCAGACCGTTGCACCTAGCCCGGTGAAATTTGCACAACTTATAGATCAAAGATGCGCGACGTGCCTTTGAGGGGTCTCAGCTTGATCGGGTCGTTATTGAGCGCGTGGCGCGTGCCCAAAAAGTGCAAATTCGCGTCATAGACTTTACATGTATAAATCGGCGTGCGAAATCGGGCGAAAACGGCTAATTTTGGCCGACACGGGTCCAGTTCCCGTGCAATATCTTGGTGACCAGGGATCCGACCGGCACGGGGAAAACAGCATCGTGTAGATAATTGAATGGGCAATGGAATCGTGTGCGATACAGAGGATAGCACGCGCCACGTGCACCGGGGAGGGCACTTTTGTTGAAAAATTGCGGTTTTTGGCGGATTTTGGAATTGATTTTATTTTTAGGTGACCGTTAAACAGGGCGAGTTGGAACAACGCCTGTTGGCAAGAGAAATGTACCGCCTATCATATAAAAATTGTGAAAAGCTGATTGATCCAAATCAAGGTGGTACAAATCACGGGAGAAAATGGTGTTTGTCAATTTTGTGTCACTTTGTTAATCACACGGGGTTTGCTGCATAACCTGATACCTTTGGCAATTGAATATGGTACCATTGGATAGAGCATTCAATTCTGTCCAATATTCACTCTTCATTTTTGCATGATTAGCAACAGTATCCTTAAAAATGTAAATGTTCCAAACCATTACATTGTCATTTTTAGCGAAATTCATCGATGGCCCTCAAAAGACTTCACGCCAGTTTTCGAATCATTCTAAAGTAGAACGCATGATAATACGACACGGGCACCTCGATGCGATGTATCTTTTTGTTTTCTTACGAAATGCATGGCCGTCAAAAAGCAATCGAACGAAATGGATATCTACCAACCAAATCGACACAGACCAACCCAATACCCACGGGTCAAAAAATCCCCCCTTCGCGTTGCGGAGCACGCGGGTAACCCTAGTAGCACCCATAAAAATCATTTTCATTTTGTTGAGCAGTGCTCTTGAGATATTGGGTGACCGGGACGGGTCAAGTAATTGAGTTGAAGAACTATGCTGAAATATGAATACAACACTAAACATTTTCAGCACAAAGAACCATCAACTTCTTCGTCCACTCCAAACACATCTATTTTTGAATGCATATTGCCCACTCAGGAAACCTTAATGTAAGGCTGAAGCTGAACTGCAGGTTCATTAGCTACGTTAGACTGTGCCCATGCTGCCCACAGTTCCTTACATAAGAAGACCAGTGAGTGATGAAGTTCTAACTTCTAAATCATTGAAGTCACTTAGAAACATGGTCTGGCACATTTTGCACAGCTATTTCAATTTCATATAATCCAGCAAAAGATATATTGAACGTCATATGGAAACCATGAATAATGAATGTGTACTGGAGCAGCCAATCTGCAAATATGGTAACTTCGACGAGATCTTGTTGGTGTGGGCTTATTCGGCTGGTGCGGATTTGGCATGGTGCAGAGCGGATTTGGCTAATGGCTTGGTGCAGTGCGGATTTAGTGTGGTGGGTAGGTTAAGGTGGTAGGTTTTAGGCTGTAGGTTTAAGATTGTAGGTTGTAGGTAAGGTTAGGCCAGGTTTGGTTAGGTTTGGTTTGGTTTGACTTGATTAGCAGGCATCTCTGGGTAGAGCGCCTCTTCCTGGTTGGAAAAACAAGTGTGGGGCTTGCTTAACGACTACCACATTTTTCTAATGCATGATTTTACTGAGGCAATTGGTGTACATTGCTCAGACCATCACTTTGTCAATATAGCCAATGCAGCATTGTTATGAGGGCTAATTATTGCATATCTGATGGTCATGCTCAACCCAAAATTTAGAAATATTCATAGCTGAATAAAAATTTAATCACTCATCAGCATTTCAATTTCAATGTGCGATACAAACCAACCTCTGATGAACAGACACTAAAAGGGAAAATAATGACAGAAAACCTGGTGATATTTTATAAGCGATCTGATAAATAAAGCTAGAGTCGTCTGAATCCTCAATAGTCCGATCTAAAATCGCAAATTTGCCCATTATCACTACCTATTTTAAGGCAAAATCCACAAACAATACCCTATTATAAACGGCCTATACGGCCTTGAACAATACCTTGCATTATAAATGTCTCACGCAAGTCATTTATGTATTTGCAAAAGGCTACCATATCGCTACCATATTATGTGACGTCACCTGGGCGGCAAAAATTCTTTAGTGAACTAACCTTATAAGTAAAGTAATCTTGGGCCTACCAGCCACCTTCCACGCGGTGGGGGGGGGGGGCACTTTTTTGCCCCCCCCCCCGTATCTCCGAAACTACTGGACGGATCCGAAAAATTCAAACGGCGTTCGATAGCCCTGTCAAATTTAACGAGGGAAACCAAATTTCATTGACCTCGGGGTCACCGATGACGTCACAGGTCAGGTCAAAGATAAAATGTTTCACCGTTCACAGGGCTTCTAGGGAAAGCGCTATAACACCGAGTAAAACGCATTTTGTCGAAAATCAGCGATAAGGCGTCAGTTGTCTAGTACATATGTTGCTATTAGAGGTCACTGGTCATACCAGGTCAGGTCACAGGTCAGGTCACTAAAGGTCA